GACACTTGCGAGACTTTATCAAAGGTGTAAGCATCACAGCAGATGCTTCAACTGCTGTCATTCACAAAGAATGGAGTCTTCCATATTCATTCACTTCCGTACTGGCTTTACTCTTTCGATGTCCAACCTTTATATATAGTCTATGACTATATAAAAAAATATAAATACATTTTTTTTTATAAAATTCCACACAAACAACATTTTTGTTTATTTTCTAACTACAAAAAGTTGGAACAGGTAAAAAAAAAAGGAAAATGAAGTAGGGCTAACCCCCCACCTCCCCAAAAAACAAAACAAAACAAAGCAAAAACACCTAGCTGAACATTTAGCTAACTAACAAGTCAGTGACATAATTGGGTATAAAAAGAGCATCTTGAAGAAGATGGACAGCAGTTCAACAACATACAAAACACTAAGTCTACAAATTATGGAAAAATGTTCCTCAACAAAAAAACATAAAAGGTTCCTAGACTTACATCATTGTTTCTATAGAAAAATAATTATTTAGTCATTATATGAATTCAATTCGATTCATTTTTTCATATACCAACAATCATCTGAAGGCACTTTTTACTGTAAGGTAAAGATGCTAAAATAATACAGAGAACAAGCCAAGGACCCCTCCTGAAGGGAAAATGTCCTGTTTAACAGAATATCCATCTACTGTGACCAGTTAGGGGTGATGGTTTACAGTACAATGTTTACAATTTGCAGTATTTACTGTGAATAATATCATAAAAATTTAACCTCCTAAGACCCGAACTCTTTCATAGCATCCATTTTTAATTTCTCTTTGCTGTTTGGGCTGACTGGGACTAGATAAATGTAAAAACAAAGAATTAGCTGATTTGTATTTTTTTTCCTGATTTTTGTTTTTGACAAAAATGAGATCCACATATGAGGAAATTTGTTTTAAATTTCGATTCAATAGTGACAGTATAATGTCCTCGTAAGTGGATATCAGGCCCTTGTAGAGCAAAATGTAGTATTTTGGTCTAGACCAGCCAAAATATGATCTCCACATATGTGGACGCCAGATCCTAGGAGGTTAAAGTAACTAAGGCAGAGTGAAAAACTGGTCAGAAAAATTTAAAGTTGAAACTCTTTTTAAAAATCATAGTTATGCTGTCCTCACTAAAGTTTGTTGCAGGTAATTTCAGCTATACAGCTAGCTTAACAATCTTTATTCCCAGCACTTCATCCTCCAAGAAACAGGCCGCTTGTTGTGTTTGGCAGGATTTAATGATGAAAATAAATTCTCTCTCTCTCTCTCTCTTTTTTAAAACTGTACAAAGAAAAGGAATACAAAATACACAATGAAGACATGTTCCATTACACTGGGAGAATAACATTGCTCTAGTGAAAAACACACAACCACAGATGAAGCATCTGCTGAAAACATACAAGCACCTACCTGCCTCCATACAGTAGCGGTCCTAGC